GAATAATTTTTAATGTATGCATTTAACGAATTACAGTGCATTAAAAGTTTAGAGTAGTTAATAGAAATATGAGGTTACAATCACAAATTTCGCGGATGAATATCTTTTTTACCCAATGAAAAATGTTCGGCTATTTCCGTAAAGCTTTATCAATGAAAATGCTATTTTAGCTATGTCGATTACCGAATACTCCAGAGCGTAGTACACAAATAAATCTGACTGTCGAGTAGTGGAATATATACATGTCGTACTGTTTTGGCGAGAAGATTTTCGCTAAATTATTTTCATCAGTGTTAAACAACAGGTTTATAGTGAAGAAAATATCTCGAAATTAGTAAGGATTACAAACACGGAATGGAAATTTTCAATTTAGAATTACAATGTATTTGTTATTATTCAAGCTACATATGTATTACTTCACCGTGGTGCAGAGGTAGCGCGCTCGTTTAGGGTGTGAGAGGTCCAAGGTTCAAATCCTAATCGAGGCAACTTTTTTTTTGAAGTGTCTTTTTTAAGGAAGTAGCCACGATATGCAAGGATAAAGTATGGCTGTCATAAAAAATGAAAATGATTTTTTGATGCAACTCTAGTCATGCAAAATTCCATATGTATCAATCTCAAACTGTTATAGACGCAGTCGCTGCGTAAGATAAATTATAGTATATAAAAATAAACTTATATAGGAAAATACATACAGATAGTCAGTATGATTTAGATTGCAAAGATCAGAAAATACCACAGAGGTTGCAGCCCTTTGATATGTTTATGTTTTCGCCTGGTACCCGCGGAGCGAAGAAACGACATACCACACACTAGCCACCATAGGAAGATAGTTAGAAATACTTTACAAGTGTAAACACAATTTTGTTCAGGTTTACTGAACATCTTTACCTGAATGTGTATCAATTTCAATTTGATTACAATGTCTTACAATAGAAGAAAAAAAAGAACTCAACAAAATACAAAAAAGCTGCATATTATTTCGGTAATTATGATTCTATCTAAAGGATTGCAATCAGTAAAGACATTCAATGTAATAGTTGCGTTTCTATCGGTACAAGATTGAGCAACCTATTCGAGTATCAATATCAACATTTGGCAAGATGATCAATGTTTAAAAATTACCCTTGCCTTTATAAACAGTGCTAGCATTCTCTGTCATCATTTAATGCCGGTAATCCGGATTATTGCCAAGTAACGTTAGACGTTGTCGCTATTGTTTCACTAAGATTAATTGTTACAAGCGTTACACAGCTTTTTAATCACATAACTAAAATAGTTCCTTAAAATATGTAATTGAGCAGTAACCTGGTGTATTGCAATACCGGTACTTAATTAATTTACCTTTAACGCAAAATGGGAATTCACATGTGACACTGATACATTTTTCTGCAGGAATAATGAATTTATTTTTGGTGAGTGTTCTTTAACATTCTCTTTCCTATTTATGTTTCAGACTAAAAATATCTTTGGAGTCAAATATTATATTCATTTAAAGTAATAAAATAGCATAACTCGAATTTTCAATAACCTTGTAAACATAAGGCTTTCTGAAATGTTTGAAATAATTCTTTTGATTTGTAGATGGTTATTTACAGGCATTTCTGTCTCTAATCCGAACAGAATAAAGTCCACTGTCCATTAAAAGATTTACTCACATGAACATAGGTTAACTGCAAGTGATTAACCAAATTATTATCATTGAAGTTATAGGTATTATATTTCCTCGTTTGACTCTGTCACCCCTACTAAACAGTGGCTGTTTAACAGTTTGGTGATCTTCCTAAAAGAGAGCCCTCGACACTTCCGTTGTGGAGCCATCGGCCAAAACAAAGCACAGTTTCTGAAAAAATCCGATTTAAATGCACATACTTGTTTTTAAAACATCGAAGAATGCTGTGTCAGGTAAAAAATTTTGCTTATCATTTGGGATGCAATTTCAGTGCTAAATATACTAAAATGACGTAGCTAGAACGTTTTACTAAATATCAACTAGTCTGTTTTCTTATACGAGGAGACATTAAATTTTTCTCTGGAAAGTTATCCAATCAGTGATAAGAATGTTATTGAAAATGGACATTTTATACTTATACAGATATATATTAGCGTAGTAGATACTGAAGAGCCTATTCTCTTTTAGTCTATACATAAATATAACTAAGAATAATTCTACAGTATCAAAATGTAAAAACAGTAAAAATGGTATTGCACAGTCGTGTGACATTTTTTGTATTATCGGAACATAGCGTAAAGAGGTGCTAAATGTTTGCGTAATTATATACGCGCGTCAATGGATTTCTTTTCCTCACCAAAACTGTCTTTATTTTAGGTATGTGATAAAATGAATATTATATTCGTTAAAGGCTCAATGTTATCATTTTTTTTTAACTCATTGAACAAAATAATATTATGCTCACCAGAGGTTCGACCAACACTTCAATATCCTCTATTTGTTGAATGGTTGTGTTGGCCCCGTCGCAATTTCGAGGGCTCTGTTACACTGCCGATGGCACCCAGGCACCGTGTCAATCGCTCGATTACATTTGAATAAATGTTAATATTTTATTTTTAACCAAGCTGTGTGAAATATTCTTGTGCTGAGCCACAAGGGTGGCTAGGATCATGTTCCATGCACGATAACGAGAGCAGATATTTACTTTACGGTGCGGAAAACTAAAGATGTGTCTCAATGAAATAGACACACACACAAGTTAATATTTGGTAAAAGATCTAGCAACGTCATTTTGGGGTATTTTGTTTCGAAATTATTGTGTATACCTAATTCAGCATTGTTTTGGGTCGAAGTCATAATTATTATCTTACATTATCTAAAATGAGTCACAACGGTAATACAATAACTAAACATTAAGGAAGTTATCAGATTTTTACTTTATACAAGTATAGCTATTAACGTTTCTTCCATCAGATAATAATGTCATTTAAATACCGTTATTCTTAGTTCAAATTGAATAAATCAATTCAAGATAAATTAATTCTTCAAAAGACATACCGGTTATAAATGTCATACGACAAGGTTTATACAAACAAAATCTCCTTAGGGCAGCACGCCTCCAAATTCATGTTTATTTTCATGAAAATTTGGAAAATGTTTTAAAATGATAAATTTTGTGAAGTGAACAAGAAAACTAATTTACGCGTTGCATCCACGCAAATTACAAAAAGAGACCAACATAATTATGCAAGATAAAAAGAAAAAGAGAGAGAATAAAGAGATCCCTAACGGTGTGATTCACGCGGTAAATAAAAATAAAACCAGGCTTATTTGGAGGCATATATCATTCGAATTCTAAAATTCTAAATTCCTTATTTCTCTCAGTGCATCATACATGATACAAACATAAGGTATATAAACAATTAACATTTGTAAAAACATCAATGCGTACATGGCAAGTGTGGCTAGGCATAAACGCTTTGCAAACCTGCATTTGGAACTGAGCAGCAAAGTCGTGAATTGGCTAGGTCGTGTGGTGACCTTAACCTTAAAACAAAGAAAACGTTGAAACAATAGAATGCAACTGGAAGTTTCTTTTGCTTTTTTAATGTAAATACTGAGACGAATTGTTTATTTGTGATTTTTAAAATTTTCCACAAATTACTACTGTTACCATAAACAAAGTTCATAACCTCTAATCCCTTTTCGAAATTCATTTTGATTAGTTCAGCCCATTGTTTTCCCGTTTAAGGCATACGCTTTCTTTTAATTGGGGACCATACGCCGCTTTTCAATGAATGGCATAGAAGTGTTACATTGACGGTTCCATGATAACCGCCGTATGTACACATCTGCGGATGTTTCTAAATTCAAAAGTTTACCATTTCATATTTAAAAGTTGAACTCTGCTTTAGCCGGGGCTAGGTTTGCACTTGACAGTACTGTCCATAAACAGGTTCAATCAAACCGAGTCTGCAATATTTTCAATTTTGTCGTTTTAGGCTTTCTTTAGGCATTCTTATGTTTTCTATTTTTTCAAACTTCCGCTTTGCGTCAGGAAATCATACTTCAGCTTGATTCTAAATATTTTCTACTGTACTCATTGTAGTAATGTTGCAATAGGTTCATCTTTTAAATTCGGTTTACAAATCATGGTCTTTCAACCACAGAATTATGTACAGAATGAGCCTGAAACCAGGGCACGACCTAAAATTTGCGCTTTCAAGAAAAATAAGTTTAAACTATTATTCTGCAATTAAATACACAGGACATCCGACAGCATGTTCAGCGCATTGCCCTTACATGGAAGATATTATGGACGATCTCGGTTGTCATGTAGGAATTTTCTATATGACTGACTTTTATTACAGTGTTTATGTTTAAAGTCCAACGTCTTTAAAACAACCTAACCTACTTTTACGCTCATGCAACAATTGTTTTCCAACATGTGACTTAGTAGATAATATCATTTAGCATCTAAACAATAACCCCGCAAATGATAAAGTGAGTTTGTCTCAATATACTCGCATTTATCTATATTTGTTGTTTATGTGTATGGATTATTTTATAATAACTTAAATATGTTGTGAAACGATTGTGGCACAATTTTAACGAAACAAGTGATGTATTTAAATAAATAATTCATGACCCTACACCCCTCAACCCGAAAAAAAGTATGAGAGTATATCGTGTGACGGTTTTAGCCAATGAGTAAATATCAACATTCAGCAGTGTCCAACAAATATTTACCAAAATGGTTCTGTTCTCATACATTGTAGTCAAACAACATGCCAAGCTTTAAGAATTTCCATTGAACAAGTTTAATGCTGCTTATTTGTATGTATAAAAACAACCGAAAACGTCAATAATATCTACCATATTAGAGCAATGCGCTGAACATGTCGTCAGATGGCCTCTGTTTTTAATTGCATATTATGAATTATGTGTCCTCTCTAAAACAAAACGAAACAATTTATATATTTAATATTTCAGATTTATCGATGACAAAAATTAATCAGGAAAGAGCTGGATTAGCATGAGTATCAATGGCATCGATCAGTGAACTGTATTTAACAATTATCGAGATGAAAGCTTTTTTCATAGGAATGCTCAGACCGAAAAAACGTTTTAAACTGTTCAGCACTCCTTTCATTATTGTTGGAGTTTTTGTTCTGCATTTCTTGATTTCAATGAGTAGTCACTTCAAAAGCGGTGGTTTCACTAACTTCGGCTCGACACAAAGCGGTTATAAAATCAATTCTGAAAGTATACAGGACATTGAGAAACGGCTTAAATACCCGGTGGTCATGTTACCAAATCTAGCATCTCTAATCAACGCGACCAATCCGAAGTATCCTTTGACAATTCACGCTCCATATCTTATTGAAAACCCACATCTTTGTAGTTCTGTTAACAATTTATCTGTTCTTGTTGTGGTAAACACAGCAACTGATCATTTTGAACGTCGCCTTGCAATTAGAGAGACATGGACCAATGATAAATATTATAACAACCTTGGAATTGTCCGAGTTGTCTTTCTTATTGGAAAGCCGAAGAATGGAATTATTCAAGAAATAATAAATAAAGAGGCAAATCAGTTTAAAGACATTCTTCAAGGTGACTTTGCTGATACTTATTTCAATCTCACTCACAAAGGTGCAATGGGATATAAATGGATCACCGAACGATGCAGAAATGCGGAACATATTTTAAAAGTTGATGACGATTTTGTGATAAATATGTTTTTATATTTCCAGAAAATTTACCGTCACAAGTCCGTGAAAAACGCGCACGTATTTTGTGATTATGGAACGACACCTGTATTTAGAGATAAACGAATAAAATGGTTTGTTAGTGAAAACCAATTTAGGGGAGTGAAAAATTATACAAACTTTTGTAGAGGAAAATTTGTAAGTATTAAAAATGATATAGTGCCTTCGCTGTATATTTCCGCATCAAAAACTCCGTTTTTCAAAATCGATGATGTGCTACTATTTGGATATGTGATGCATAATGTTCCTGGTCTAAAATACCAAACACTCTATAAAGAAAACATGAAAGGCGAATACAAAAGCGGAATGGATTGCCTTAAAAAGCGACAAGACAAATGCCAGGCCATAATCATACACATTGATGATCAAAAACAACTCATTGACATGTGGTCTACAATAGTGAAATATTTCAAGAAATAACACGTGGACTATAATACTGCAATATATCCGGCAATAAGACGTGGACTACAAGAATGTAATATATATCCAGCAATAAGACATGGACTACAAGAATGTAATATATATCCGGCAAAAAGACATGGACTACAAGAATGTAATATATATGGCAGTGGCGGATTCAGGCCCGGGCTTCAGGGTCGAGCCCCCCAGCTCGGCCCAAAGATTGTCTACCAGCTAGGCTGGAATATATTTTTGTCAGTTTCAAACTGTATTGGCTGTAGTGTACTCCCTTATCACAACATTTATTGCTCTTGGGACTTGAAATATAGACCCAACAATGCTCTGTATAGTGCCGGGCAGCCACTGCATGTAAGGCAATGAAGGTTGGTTTCTCACCAATGGCACAGACTTACGTTAATGGATGCTTTTAGAATAAACCATAAGATTTAAAACAAAATTTATGTAACATTAGAAGCCATAACAGATGTAAAAAATGGCAGTATAAATTTAAGTGTTATTTGTCAAAAATAAAATGTGAATTCTGTTCAATTCTGTGAAAAAATATTGAATGCTTCTATGGAAGATTTTATTAGTTCTTGGCACACACATATTAATAGTGAGTATGGCCCTTCAAGGTGGGTTAGAAATAATTCAAGAACCTATTACATAAAAAAAGTTATGTGACTGAAGAATATGTTAAATCACCTGTGTCTAAAGTCATATGCGAGGGTGCATCAATACATTCGTAAACTAATTCAATAGCGGGGAAATGGTTAATTCAAGTACATAAAATGATAACTCCTTCTCAAAATAACGTCCCATGCACGATTTGCACTAATCCCATCTCTCGACCCTTGACTCGAACACGTGTTCTAGCCTGTCACGTGACATCTCTGTCACGGCACACCTCAGTTTCTCTCTTCACTCAAATTTCGTACCACGAGGACTGTTTTTTAAAGTTAGAAACAGACAGAAGTCATAAATTGCTAGGTCCGGGCTGTAGGGTTGGCGCGGTAACAGTTCGACGTTACGTTTTCCTAGTGTATCCATTACAGCGTGGCTTGAATGGCTCGGCGCGTTGTCGTGATGTAATATGAATCCGGACCTAAGTAGATGTTGGCGCTTTCTCCTTATTGCCGCAATGAGTTCCGTTCTAAGTAATGTTGCATAATAGTTCCCAGTGACTGTAGTTTTCGGAGGAACAAAGTGGTTAAGCACTACACCGTATGTATCACAGATTAAAATGGCAATAACCTTCCCGGCTGATATGGAAATTATCGCTTTTGTAGGCGAAGGCGAGAAAGGATGCTTCCAGACAGAAGTCTGACGTTTGCTTTCGGTTCAAAAAAGTGAATCCACGTTTCATCACATGTTATCACTCGATTTAGAAAGTAATAGTTTTCTTCATGATAACTCTTGTCGTACTGCTGACACATTTTCACCCTTACCCACCCCTTCTCTTCCGATGTCAACAAACGAGGCACCCATCTTGCAGAAACGCGGCGCATTTATAATATATCAGTCATAATGCCCTGAGCTGTACCATATGAAATAGCGAACTTATCTGCTACGTGCCCCACACTAACTCGTCTATATCGTATTATGTACTCCTGAATGGCAGCCACTGTTTCTTCATCTGTAACAGTCACTGGTATACCTGCACGACTATCGTCTTCAGTTGCCTCTCTACCGTCGTTAAGCCGCATCATCCATTTTCAAATGGCACTTTTTGAAAATCGGAAAAACACTTTCCGAGTTTTTATGTAAAACTTTACAACGATGCGCTGTACGTTGACCCTGTGTGACGCCATTTTCGAACGTACGCCCGTAACATGACGTCATTTACGGTTTATAACGTCATAAATGATGACGTAACGTGTGTACATAGTGCGATTCAATTTGAAATAATCTGTTTTACAGCATTTAAAGTTTTATTGTAAACGGACCAGAAGTTTTGATGCTATTGAATTAGAATAAGAATTTATTGATGCACCCTCGTAATTTCAGCATCAACTAAATTCAGTTGTGATGTAGCTCCGATTAGACTTGAGACCGGGAGATATGATAACATTTAAGAGAACTTAAGATTTTGTGCGATATGTAAAGTCTCAGTTGAACATGAGATATATGTACTTTTCGAATGTTTTCCAACCATGATGTAAGACAGAGTCTTAGATGTAATTTCTTAATTCATTTTGACAATAAATCCATTCATCTTTAGTTACCAGGAAAAACATATTTGTCCTGTTCTACATGTAAGGGAAACTGCCAAAACCTTTTGTGCAATTTTAGAATAAATGAAAAAAATTTGTATTTCAATAACATTAAGTTTATTATGTTATTTGCCATTTGAGAAATACTTCTTTCTTTTCAGCTAATTGGTGTTTCATTAATTGTAATATACAATGTACAATAACATAATTATGTTTTAAATAACTAAATTTTATGAAGGTTTGAATTACGTTTGCTAACTTAACGATGATCTAATCTGATTAAAGGTGTACTCTGTTTTCGGATAACAAGACATTTGTCATGGTATTGGGTGTTCAGTGGTTATTATAGACCTTTTATTGTAGATTTTAGTTACAGATTAACAAGGGTATCTTAGGTTTTAGCTGTTAATATATAGATAATATATGTAACAAAATGTTATTTTTTTTAATGTAAGTCTCGTATAAATATATTTGATTTTTTAGATTGACAATGCAGTATTTTATATGTATATTAATATTTGTCATTGTCAGGTAAACTTTGTCATTGTCAGGTATACTTTGATAAGACAAAATTTAGAAATAAATATATATGAGTCAAATCCTAAATTCTTAATTCAACTGTGATACTGTAAATAAGTATGGGAAAGAAAGGTAACTCTTCAGAGCATATTGCAAGTACATGGACTTGCAGTATGGTTTAAGGAGTTGTTTCCCTTTCAGTATGAGTGCAGTAGAACAGAATGACCATACATGTAACATAATGATTTCATGTTTTATTATTTGTAATTGATCAGCCATATTCACCGATAATGTACCGTATGCTGGTTTAAAGTGTCCGCATATATGTGTTACATGTACTGTTTTAGTTCATATTACACCTTGTGAATAGAGAAAATCAGTTATTTGCCGAATACAAATTCTGATAGAAGGTAAGCTAATTGTCAAGGTCCTTTATAAATCAACGAGTGTCTACTAATCTTAAAGAGAATGGATGTCTAGCACCAAACAGGTTTAGAAAAAAAACAGATCATGCTAAAATTACGTGCATACACCGAACGCTATTATCAAAAAATTTGAAAACATTCGTGCAGCATTCAATGACCTAAAATGGCATTTGATTTAGTGGTTAGAAACATAGTATCTAAATTCCTCGATTCAATGAAAATGCTCAAATTTAAAATTAAAAGAGAAGCACTTATAATATATATATATATTATAATTAAGTCAACATTTAGAATAGGCTTCATTGGTCTAGGATAATTGCGACGTACAATACAAGTAAGAAAAACTATTCGTGTCGTTACAGGATTGACACGATTAGTATCTATACAAAATTTATTAACAGAAATAGGTTGGGTTTCGCTATCAGATATAAGAGATATCCAAAAATGAAAAAAAAAAGTTTTAGCATATAAAGTGAAAAGTAATTTATAACCACTTTATTTAATGCAGTTATGTCCCCATCCGTACATTCTGCAAATAACCCATATATATACAATCGTGACTACACATCTATTGTCAGACGAACAGAAATTTATTCGCAAAACAAGTGTAAGGGGTGTGCTTAAGAAAAATATGACGACCAGCATTGCAATCACGGAAAGAACTTCCAATTGGTGATATACGTGATCAGAATCAATCAGGTCCTCAGGAAATGTTTTAATCCCTCTCGGTCTCTTCATTTTTCATTTAAGGTGAACGATTCTCTACAGCACAGAATGAAATGCAGTAATCGTAATTCGGATTTATATGATGATCACATTGTTTACAGATGGTCTTGTACATGTTTAGCACACATTGGAAATTCAAAATATCTGAATATGAATGTATTCTTTTACATTGATTTTCAGCCCCACGCAGATCACAAAAGTTCACGTGGTATAGGAAATTGTTTTTCTTTTCTTTTATAAATTATTTATCCAATGGTCTTTTTGAAACATTACGGGTAGGCTAGATTGTATATTGTAAGATAATTATGTTTCACAGTGAGCTTTTGGACGCAGGGATGTTTGAAGGTTAAACAACAAGTAAGCATTTACTCCATATTTAAATGATACTTTAACATTGATTCCTTTTCATAAAGTAAAATGAATACTTTGTATGTAAAATACATACTTCTGCCACTTACTTTCTATCAGCGTTTTATTTTGTTAGATTATTTATTGTTAGATTTTGTTATTGTCTTTTTGATGTTTCGTTTCTCATGTCTATCGGTAATATAATTTCTAAATTCTAAAATCATCTATATACCTTACATTGAGAAAACACATAAGTATATAACTTTAATATTTAAATATTTAGTAAAAAAAATTGTTCTAGTCTAAAATGTTTTCTTTGAAATGAACGTTTCATTTTTATTTTCAGATAAAGATTTTTAAAGTTTTAAAAACAGACACACATTTAACTAGTCTAAAATGTTTTCCTTGAAATATTTTTGTCTTTTAATAATTTATATGTTACGCTTTATCTTAAAACTTTGAAGTTTTTTTTCTTAGATTTTCCCCATCAAAATATACATAATTTATAACCCTCTTATCTAAATGTAGTCGCAATCCAAATACAAATTTATTGATGTAACTTTTCTGTTTGTTTGTTTGTTTTGTTTGATTGGGTTTTACGTCACACCGACACAGTATAGGTCATTCGGTGACGTTCCAGCTTTACTGGTAGAGGAAGACCTCAGTGCCCTTCCGTGAATTATTTCAGGAGGCACGAACGGGCACTTGAGTAGAACGTTCCGTAAGTTAGCTGGATAGCTTCCTCACATGAAAGAATCCGAAGTCCCGGTTGGGATTCGAATCCACAGCGGTGAGGGCAAGTGGTTTGAAGTCAACGACCTTAACCACTCGGCCACGGAAGCCCCAACTTTTCTGTTTTTAAGTTTCCATTTCTATTGAGACTTTCTATTGAGGCTTTAGCTGCCGTCGATAACACAGCAAGCAACCTAACTATCATCATGTGACTCTTCAATCATATTGCCATGCTTGCCTTCTTCACAGTCGCAGACATAGTAAGAAGTTTGTGAATGTAAATCTAAAATTTATCTAAACCTGTCATTAACGTGCTCAGGTATGTATACATCCCTGATGTGTTTAAGTATTTACAAAAGTGTTGTTACAGTAAAAGTGTGAAGTTGATACTTTAGGAAATTTAGATATAGACCTACCTAAGAAGTTTGTGAATGTAAAATCAGACACTTAAATGAGGATCATGATGTGACATTAATGTGTTTAGGCATGTATTCATCCCCGATGTGTTTCAGTCTTAACAAAAGAGTAAGGAAATAAAGATCAAGAAATATGATCACCCTATCGTTCTCTGTACACAGACA